ACCACTAAGCAGTGAGCCTGTGTTTTCAGAGGAGGTGCAACCCTATCCAGCACAAGCTGCATCCCGATTCCTTGATCTGCCTTTTGACAGACCAGAAGCATCTCTGTCTTGTTTGGATTAAGTTTCAGTTTATTTACCCTCAACCAGTTCATTACTGAGAACATACCCTGATCTAGAGCCAAAACAGCTTCCTCAGATTTAGAAGGCAGGGAGAGATAGAGTTGGGTGTCATCCATGCACTCGGGACACCAAACCGCAAAATCCCGATTCCTTGATCTGCCTTTTGACAGACCAGAAGCATCTCTGTCTTGTTTGGATTAAGTTTCAGTTTATTTACCCTCAACCAGTTCATTACTGAGAACATACCCTGATCTAGAGCCAAAACAGCTTCCTCAGATTTAGAAGGCAGGGAGAGATAGAGTTGGGTGTCATCCATGCACTCGGGACACCAAACCGCAAAATTCTCCCAGCAGATAGAGTTGGGTGTCATCCATGTACTGGGGACACCAAACCCCAAAATTCTCCCAGCAGTTTCAGGTAGATATTAAATAACATAGGAAACAAAACAGAACCCTGAGGGACCCTGCAGATAAGGGGTCTTCATCACATACCTCATGTCTTCTTATTGAGATTTATGCTGATGGAATTATACCTATAGGCATAACTAACAGGTTTCTGACCATCATATCTCAACTAACATCACGGCTTGTTTCCAGTTAGATACATGCATGTGACCTGCCAGTAAAAGACTTCTCCATTCTTCTTCATATGGCAGACTCTATAATCCCCAGGTGCTGCACAGGTCGGGAAACCCTGCTGATGTGAGTGACATGTGATGAGGGGAGAAGGGATCCTTTTAAACCAGAAGGCAGCGCTTCCTTGTGTGTGAAGCTCTGCCATTCATGGAAAGAAGATGCTGGATGCAAGCCAGCAGGTTGCACTGTTTAAAAAAAGCCAATAGGCTGGGCCTGCATACATTTACTAACTGGAAAATCCTCGTCCACATACAGTAGTTGGGTTATGCATAATGCAAGGCAAACACACATTACTGCATTCTTTCTCCTTGGGGTAGGGGAGAGTAGAATTGCAGAAGGCAGCTAGGACTCTCAAATGGTTTGCTTTTGCACAATCCAACTATAGTCCAACTATAGACTTTTCACCAGTTCCAGAGATGGACATGGGTACCCACAAGCATCTTCCTCTTGGATTTCTTCCCCTATATTGAGAACTGGCAGTGGCAGTGTTATCTCAGACACACTTCAAGCCCACCTGAACCTCACTACTTTCATTCAGACACAACTAGTTCATGTGTGGGCGTGGATCAAAGCAATGATGTCAAGCTGTGTCATTTCCATTCTAACATTTACAGTATCTTTTTTCTGTCCTTCCCTCTCATTTTCCCCTAGCCTCTCCCCAAGCTTTGATCTCACATAATGCTCTTCAGACGTGCTGTTTACAGTTAAATGTCTCATCATTTATCAATAAATAAGTAAACTGTTGTTGCCAGTCTGTTGTTGGATATACAAAAAAGGGGGGAATTTTAAAATAAACAAAAATAAATCTTTGAAAGCAGCACGGGGAGGATCTTATATATTGAACAAAAGAACAGCCAGGTGTTCCAAAGAACTCTCTCTTGTCCACTGAGTTATTTTGGTATGTATTTTCTTCATATCAAGAGTTTTCCACAATTAAAAATTATGGACGTATATGAAATACAGGTAAAATTAAAAAGAAATTGAAATGTTAAGATAGATTGTTTTTGGCCAGAAGTGGGCTATTTCAAGTGCTATTTCAGCTTTGCTAGTGCTTTTTTGTACATGTAATGGGGCCTAATTGCATGCATATCAGTGCTGTACTGATTAAATTTCTCCACAGTCACAGAAAATTTGTCCTGTACCCAAGTAGCCCCATTTTTCTTGGTTATTCCTTGATCTTCCTACTTTGCTTCAGGGTCTATTAAGTGAGTTCCACATGATCCAGCCAGAGTCTTGTTCTGGTGGGAGACACTCTTCAGAATTTATCCATTTGGCAAGCAGTGCTGTTTTAGTTCTCCATAAATTTAGCATATGTTCTTCTGGTTTAATAGGAGATTCGTGTAGGGAACTTTTCCTTTATTTTAGCTGTTGCCTGGGGGGTTGTGTGTTCTTATTGTATGTGGATGTGCACCCCAATCTGATCCAGCCAATTTCCTAAGGAAAACTGGTGGCAACTTTCTGTTTGTTTTTTTTTAAAAAAACTGCTACATTATCAGACTGTGCCAATGTACCATGAAATGAAGGCAACAAAATTGTAGTTAAAGTGGTGCCTTGCTAGACGATGATAATCTGTTATAGCGAAATCATTGTCTAGCGAAAAGCATTTCCCTATTGGAATGCATTGAAACCTGTTTAATGTGTTCCAATGGGGAAGAATTGTCATTGTCTAGTGAAGATCAGCCATAGGAAAGCCGCTTTGCAAACCACCGATCAGCCGTTTAAATAGCTGTCTTGTGAAGCTTAGGTCCCGAAAACACCCGTTTTGCGAGCACGGAGGGCATTTTCCAATTGGAATGCAGTGAAACCTGTTTAATACGTTCCATTGGGGAAGAATCGTTGTTGTCTAGCGAAGATTGGCCATAGGAAGGCCGCTTTGCAAACCACCGATCAGCCGTTTAAATAGCTGTCTTGTGAAGCTTAGGTCCCGAAAACACCCGTTTTGCGAGCACGGAGGCAGCTGTCAAAATCGTTGTCTAGCGAAAATCGGTTCGTGAAGCAGGGACCAAACATTGTCCAGCGAAATTCCCCCATAGTAACCACTGTTTTGCAAATCGCTATAGTGATCGCAAAAAGTCAATGTCTAGCGAAAAAACTGTAATGTGGGGTAACTGTCTAGCGAGGCACCACTGTACTTGGGAAGGAGCCACAATAAGAAAATCCAGCTGCTAAACAACACTTTCTGAGGATGGAATGACTCCTTTTGGGGGGGCTATAACTCTGATGTCCCAAATCCAATCTGCACCAAACATGGAGGAAGTGGGAAGGAGAGTTATCTGAAGACTCACTGAGACTTTGGCATCTCTGAGTCATGCGGGTGCTAGTCTACAATTCATGGAAATCCCAAATCACACGAGCGTCCGTCGCTTGTCCCAGCTCCCGCCAACCTAGCAGTTCGAAAGCATGCAAATGCGAGTAGATCAATAGGGACCACCTTGGTGGGAAGGTAACAGCATTCCGTGTCTAAGTCGCACTGGCCATGTGACCACGGAAGATTGTCTTTGGACAAAACGCTGGCTCTATGGCTTGGAAACGGGGATGAGCACCGCCCCCCAGAGTCGAACACGACTGGACAAAAATTGTCAAGGGGAACCTTTACCTTTACCTAGTTATAATATGTGGGAAGTGACTAAGAGTGCATTCATACATGATGCAGTACAGTGTATAACAGGGGCAGCCAACCCATGGCAACTCCCATCATCCACATTGGGGAGGCACAAGTGTCCCCCCCCCGCCTCTTGACCTGGCTATACAGACTTTCTGTGAAAAGTTCCTACTGGTCCAAAATCAGTAACAGTATGTATTTATCACTGTTTATGTCCCTTCTGATTTTGCATCATTCAAGAGCTTGTAGGCCCAGCAGTTGTGAGCCAAAAGCTCTGCAACTCATGCTTTCCCAGCATGAACAAAACCAGACACTCAGGCAAGTCATTCATTATTCTATGGCTACTGAGCATCTGGAACTCCCCCAGGGCCATTCTTGGATTTTCCCCTGAAGGACAATAAAGGATGCAGACTCTTTCTCTTCAGTATCCACGAATAGCATGATATTGCTCAAATAGATTTCTTTATTTCGGAAATGCTACAGATCAGCAGAATACAAGTTGTAATCAAGTATTAAAATCATATTCCACAGTAAGAAAGCATGTGTTAGTGCAATAGGGTTTTGTGGGGTTTTATTTTTATTTTTTTTGCAAAAGGTCTTATCAAAAAAGTTTTACTTCCATGAAAACTCATTCATTTCCAACATACACAATTGTTAATAAAACATTGCAATCTTATTCTTTGTAATAAAGTTACTGAAACCCGAATAATAGATCACTGCATCTTTTAAGTGCAATATAATTTATGCCCTCCTTATAAATACAACATCACCATGGTAATAAATTAACACCAGAACAAGGAGATGAGAGAGCAGACTTATGGTGACCCAAAGTCATGGCAGTTTTAAGTGAGTACGTTTTAGTGTGTGCTACCGCAACATAAACATACAGCATTACTGTTGTATTGCCAAACATGGTCCTGATCCATTCAGAAGCAGGCTCAGTGCATGACTGAATCTAGCCCTCTGCTTCCTCCCCCCACCCCCCACCCATATTTGGTGGCATTGTCCCTATTCCAACAAGAGTAGGTGGTTCTCAGTAGCTCTGAGAACTTCCTAGTCTCAGAAACCACCTTTATTTCCTTGTGCCTCCAAGAAAATGGCATGTCTCTTTACAGATAGCCCTACCTGGATTGGGGCTGATATGGGTAGGACTTATTTTGACCAAATGCCTACAATAACACCTTCTGATTAAAGGAAGGGGCCTGATGGCATACACAGATACAAAATATTTCAACACTACGATTCAAGCAAAGGTAAAAACTTACTAAGTGCAAAAATATGCCTTCTTGGAAAGACTATCGAAGAAAAACTGAAGCAAATAGCATAGGAAACGATTTGGAAAATCTGAACTGACTGAAAAAATGCAGGGTGTGAGAGGGTGTGAGAGTGAGAGACAGAGAGACAGAAAGAGAGAGAGAGAGAGAGATACAAATTAAAAAGGTCTGGACATTTCATTATGACAAAGCATTCAAAAGTCATATTTTGGCTCCCTCAAATGAGATACTTCAGGTACTTTGTGCATGAAATAAAAAAATGAAAATCAGAATGCTGCAACATCAGTTTGACAATACTGCTGTCTCCTCACCAACCAACCAAGCAAGCAAGTAAGTGCATTATGTTTAGTGATAAATGATGATGTGTTGTGTTATCCACCCACCCTCCCAAAGTTCTAGTTTACCCAGCCAGCTGGGTAGGAGGATCTGCTTTATTCCACCTTTGGAGCTGAGGTCCACCAATCTTCAGTAACAACCATCCCTCCAGTTGCCATCCCGTAGAGCACTAAGCGAAGAAAGAGGCTTTGGCGGCTGGAGAAAACTGTTAGAAGAAACAAGGCATATTTCAGAAAAGAGAGAAAACAATACTTGACAATGCAGAATGCTGAACATGGTGCAGACCCACAGTAAGAACAGAAAGCTAGGACAAAGGCCTTTTGTTACGGAAGGAAAAGAATGAAATGTCACAACCTCCCACTGCATATACAAAAGCCAGCGATGTTCCAGAAGAGTCCAGAAGCCATTTTTACACACACACCCCTCAAAATGTTACGTCTCTAAAACAGCACATTCTGGTGACCACATCAAAGTGACTGAGATCTGAACTAACATGTCTATAGATAACGGAGGCTCTCTTCTTCACTCTCATGGGAAGCAGGGTGACAGAAATAATGCAATGGTGATGGTGGTGGAGCAATGTGCAACAAAGGCAATGACGTAAATGCTGCTGCTGCTTGAGGGCATGTGCTGTACTCCATTTCTTAAGCTGGTGTTAGGACCTGGGAGATGGTGGGTCTATGTAGAGCAATTCCATGCGGTAAACTACAGAAGAGCAGCAAGCCCATTTGCAGTTTAAGTACAGTAGTATGCAACCTCTGACTCTCCAGTACTGTCACTGATAAGGGATTGTGTCCACTATGATTCAAAAATCCAGGACAGCCAAAGGTTCCCACCTCTGCTGTAGTGCCTTCAGGTTTCTGAACCAACTCCACCCATACAGACTGGCTGCTGAAGTCTGCTGGCCAGGAAGGCACAGAAGTGGGTTTCCTCTTTCAGCTGATCTTTGCTGCTACAAAAACAGTCTGGCTTGCACCCTCCTTTGTCCATTTACCCTAGTTACAGATTGGTCCATCTTAAACTGCCGCCTCCTCTGGTGCAGCCCCTGAAGACCATTAGTATGTGCTTCCTATTGGATGGCAGAGCTCGGAAACATGGCTTTGGGCTACAACTCTTAGAACTCACTCTCCCAGTCAGCACGATCATTAGCTGCACTGGCTGGGGATTCTCACAGTGTCAGTCAAGGAAATCTCCACCTTGACTAAAAGGACTTAATTCCTAGAAACTGAGGCAGTTAGGCAAGCACATGCCTAACCACCATGTAACCACCCATTTGCCTAACCCTTTGAACTGGCCAATCCGAAGGCCTGGTGGGGGAAACAGATCAGTCCTGAAGCAGCCCCATCCCTTGGTAACCTCAACAAGGCCAGACAATGGCATCACCTTGAATCTACTGAGCTCATCCAGTTTCAGAGGTAAAAGAAGTCAAACCTGCTCAGTACGTAGAAGGCAGCAGTCTAGGGAAGAATATTGGGGAACTCCAAGTAAGGCTAGGAAAGAATTCTGCCTGAATCCCCGGAGAGCCACTGTCAATCAGAGTTGACAATTCTGGGCTACATCAACGACTCCTTTTCTTATAGATCAGTGGTTCCCAAACTTGGGTCCCCAGATGTTCTTGGAGTACATCTCCCAGAAATTCTGACCAGCATAGCTAGTGCTGAATTGGAATTCAGCAACATCTGGACAGAAGCTGGGTCCTCAGACATTCAATGTGGTCAATTTAACGTTCTGGATGGGGGATGCAGCCCCTACAAAATACTGTAGCTTTTCCAGGCTCTTCTTGTGAAAGCCCCTTGGTTATCTTTGTAATGGGGTGAGCATGCCAGGCAGCTGGAACACTCATGGCAAGCCTTCAGCCCCTCTAAAAGCTGAGAGAGCTCAATCAGGGGAAAAGGCGAAGGCACAAGGAAAGAGGGAGGGAAGACAGCTGGGGAAGGTAGAGAAGCTTGCTCAAAGCAGCCAGGAGCCTGATAAGAGGGAGTGAAGACAGAGCTTCAGGAGGCTGGTGATCAACAGAACAGGAAGAAGAAAAGGAGAAGGGGCCTGGGTCAATGCCCCAAAGGGAAACTGCTCCTGCCAGAGAGAGCTGGGAGAGTGGCATGGTCTTCCTCTGCCTAAGGGACGACGGCCATGACTTCCCGCTGCCCAAGGGACAACTGCTAGCTGACACAGAGCCTTCCCTGGTCATCATCCTGGACAGGCAAGGACCAGGGGAAGGGACTGGCTGGCTACCAGAGCTTCCCTCAAGGACAGGACAAACCTGCTTTCAGCAGGGTGAAGACTTGCTTTGATAGACCTAAACCAAGGATTTGCTCAGTACCATTAACTGAGAACCTTGCTGCGGGAGGATGTATCTGAGGACTGGCCAACGGCTCTCAACTCACAGCTCTCCAGGGTGCAAGGATCTTTTAAGGCTGTGTTGTTAACTCTGACGAGAGAGCCCGCAAGTTTGAACCCAGAAGATGAGCTCACAGAGTTTCCGGCAGGGAACCTTTCTGTGACCAACTCCATAGTGCTGGAGGCTAGCCACACCCACAATCCTGGATAAACTTGGATTGGGGGAAAAAAGAGAGGACCTCTTCCTTTGTTCCTTCAGTCCACTTTAATGTTTCAAGAAAGATGGAATCCTTCTTTCTCTGACTTGGCAGTATATTATTTTGACTGCAGTCTGGAAATACAGTTATGCTGTTCAAATCCTATTGAACTCAATGGTATTTCAGTTATCCCAAGGAGGGGGGAGGGGATATTTTTAAAAAAATCTAACCTTTAATTACAGGATTCTAACTGTCAGAGACACTTCATTATCAAACTATCAATACAATTAAAATAGGTGTCAAATTATTAAACAGCTTCTGGCTTGATGAAACTGATCACTTCATCAAGGTCCCCTCCAAGGAAAACTGTGCTGCTTCAGCTGACAACGGGCCTGCTGCTCAATTACAAGTCCTCTCATAGCTCTTCTGCACAACCTGTGACCTACAAAGTTTAAACAAAGCCCATTAGTCATGCTATAATGCTGCTTGACCCCAATCTAGCCACTGGTCTAGCGAGCCTGGTCCTGTCTTGGGACATGTCCAGGTGGAGGCCCCTCATGCCCACAGGCAGACATTGCTGTGTAGCTACCCCAGCTGTTTCTCCTTCAGCCATTTTCTCCAGTAAGGACAAAGACAGAAGCAATGGAAAAATACAATGCCGCCGACAAGCTAACCGTAACATTGTGTGGGAGCCCCATGAAATTCAGTGAATGAAACAGGACCGTAGGATGCTGAAAGCTTGCCTGGGAACATTTTCTAGCCCCTAGGTAGAGAGGTCTCTTGCATATCGCATGCTACTTGATACTTTTCCACGGGAGGTAACGGAGACTGTGCCACGGAATGTGCACGTGCTGGCTCCAGCTACCACTAAACAACCCCTCCAATACTATTTCAGCCCATCCTCTAGCCACGGATGGGATTCTGCTGGGAGTGAAATAACCCCCTCCTGTTTGCTGCTGGCACTTCTTAAGGTCTCCTTAAATGTTGCTGGAATGCTGCATTCCGTCTGATGTATAATAGGCTGCATTCATATTCCCGCTTGCTTTACTCTTCCTTAAAACTATCCTAAGTAGAAAACAAACACCGAGTAAGGTAGAAGGCCACTTATTCGCTAACTTCCCTTCTAAGCAGACTAGAAATGGAACAGACCGCCTGCCTGTTAACCAGATCTTTCAAAGATATAAAGAGCATGGCAGAATGAGAGCGGGACCTCCCACTGTCTGACCCACAGAGCTGGCTGCACCATTAGGCAAGATGAAGCAATGGCCTCAGGAAGCAATGGCCCCAGTCTTGGAGAACAGCCACGTGCATGCACACTCCCTGCGCTCGCCTGCTGCCTTCAGGTAGGACTCCCCACCAGCACCAAACAAAAGTTCAGCTACCAGTCCAATGAGCTTCTGCATATGAAACAGGCAGACCAGACGGACGTATTGTCTTGTCATTCACCTTGGTTCATAAAACATCTGCAGTTCTGGTGAACCATCAACCCTGAACTGTGACTTTATCAAATGCTCAGAAACCTCTCTCTCTTTACCCCAGTTTATGCAGCTGCATCCAAGCAGCAAAATGGGCTGTTTGGGTGTATCTTGATAGCTCATCATCCACATACCAGTGTATTTTTTGCAGGCATGCATGGGTCTGCCTCTACTAAAAGCTGTTTCTCACTTTTCTTTTGCTTCTGGTGGATGCTTTTTTGTGTGTGTGTACAGATTTCTCCCAAGGTAACAAATCACCCCCCAGGATCAAGCAGCCTCATGGAGCATCTATTATGAACAAAGGCTTTGATTCCCAGAGTCATTTTCAAAGGTACATGTGACCTGCCAGTCACCCTTGTAGGCTACTATCCTGGGCTGGCAAGGTGTGTTTTGCACAATGACTCACCATTTGCAGGCCATTAAGCTAAACAGCCCACCAACACATAGAGGAGTGCACTGAATTCTCATGTAGCGATCCTGCCATGAGTTACAGCTCCTGAGAATCCTTGGGTGTAAGAATGACTGTTCAGCCAATTGTAATGTTGGCCATGCAGATACACACACCCTTCGTCCTTTAGCAAAACTAGTCTTACCTTCGGACGGGCTGTGCAATTTTGCTCCTGGGTATGCTGCTCCCACCTATAGCCAAGGATGGCCTCGGAAGACCACTGCGGCTTACTAAGCCTGCGTTTGCAGTCTTGTTTGGCATGGGGATGCCTGTGCTAGAGTGCAGTTGTAAGGTGTTGCTGGACATTGAAATGTTGCTGCTGCTGCTGCTGCCACCACTGCTGCTGTTGCTGCTGCTGCTACTGTTGCTGTTGCTCCCTTGGACAGTCGGACTCACATAGGCTGTGGCTTTGAGGGGTTGCCTGATAGATACTGGAAACTGTCCCACACTGTGAACTCGGTGCTGAAGTTGTCCAGGAGCAGGAACTAGAGAAGAATGTACACAAAAAGGAGGTGACATGGGGTCACAACACAACAGAGGCTCATGAATTCTAAAAGAGAACTCTACATATGCGCAATGTTTTCACAGCTTCACAAGCTAGCTCTTTCAAGCCAGTGTGAAAGACAGCCAGAGGAGCAGTTCCCGGAGTCACTATAATCAGGTGAGGCTACAAATGTGATCCAGTATTTCTTGATCAAACCTCAGGGCTTCAAAGATCTATATTGCACACTTACAGTGTTTTGTGCCAGTTCGATCCATCGTGGTTTTTCCCAAGGTATCCTGGCAATTGTGGTCTGTTAAAGAGTTTTCATGTCCTTAGCTTCATTTAGAGAACTACCATTTCATTTCTGATGAAATAGATTTTAGCTCATGGAAACTCAGGATGTGATCAAACCAGAAAAAAGACTGCAATTTGGACCACTTGTGGAGCAGTCTGGTGTGATCTATTTCCCAGTGATCACACAACACACAGGGAAATGTGCTCCAGCCTGGGCCCAACCCTTGCCTAAGCTGAACCTTTTTTTTGGGGGGGGGGGAGAACTGGACTGATTCCCTAGCAAACAGAAGCTTGTGATCTCAACCCTTCCTAGCGCAATCAGAAGTGTGCCTTTGCAGCTGTCTGATCATAGGTAAAGGTAAAGGTTCCCCTTAAATTTAGTCCAGTTGTGTCCGACTCTTGGGCATGGTCCTCATCCCTGTCTCCAAACCATAGAGCCAGCATTTGTCCATAGATAGTTTCCATGGTCACGTGGCCAGCGGGACTAGACACGGAAGGCCGTTACCTTCCCACCGTGGTGGTACCTATTTATCTACTCACATTTACATGCTTTTGAATGGCTAGGTTGGCAGGAGCTGGGACAAGCAATGGGAGCTCACTCCACCACATGGATTCGATCTTACGACTGCTGGTCTTCTGACCTCACAGCATAGAGACTTCTGCAGTTTTACCCGCAGCGCCACCACATCCCTCTGATTATGTCTGATCATACTCTTCTTTAATTAAACCATTTCCACCTCACCTTTTAGCCAAAAAGACTGACTTGCAGAAGATAAATAAAAGCTAAGGACATCCCTGCCTCAAAATCTGAAAGACATGAGCCAGAATCAAATTGTTGTCTTTGAAATAACCAGGGACATTTTGGTTTTGCTACAGTATGAACCCCCGAGGTTCCCTGGGAAGATGGAGTACCTCATGAAATGCTTTACATTTGCACTGTACATGCATCTCTTTTCAAACACTTCTCCCTTCTAACCCTGGATTTATTCTGACTGGCTCTAGAAGTTGAAAAATTGTACTGTACTAAATTTAGCTAGGAATATTAAGTTGCTCAGACATATCCTTCTAAAAGACTACAAAGCTACAATACTGCTGCTCATGACAGGTAAATTGTTTCAGAAACCACACACCTCAGCTCAGCTTTATACTTCACTGTTTTAAAAAAGTCACTTTGTGATTTGTCAGCACATTCTAAATCTGACATTGTACAAAAATAGCAAGCCATTTGCCACTCCGTTCTTTTGTGGCCCTGGAAGCTGTTTTGTAGCACACTGTTGATTATTAATAGGTATGGGACTTTTGGGACTTGCCGACTTCTAGTCCCATAACATGGCCAGAACCCCACAGGCAGAACTGTGGGAGTGAAAGCCCCCAAACCGGAAACAGTTGGAGCAGCCTTCTCTACCTCCATGCTGTTTCTTCCTCAAGCAATAAGAAAAGTAAGCGCACTGCACTGTGGGGGGTCTCCATGATTTCTCCAATTTACAAAGGTCCATGAGTCCTCCTATCCAACGCACAGTGCAAGAACAGTCTCCAGCACAATTCACAGACCTCTGTGAGTCATAGGGATCCTTGGGACAGCCAAAAGGTAGCAGGGTATTTTTATTACAATCCACAGAAGAAGTGGGCCAGGAATGGCATGGAGGTAGAGAAGGCTGTTCTCACTCCTTTTGGTTTGAGGGCTTTCACTCCCATAATTCTGCCTATAGGCTTCTGGGCTGAATTATGGGACAGGAAATCCTCAAGTCCCCAAAGTTCCACCTCTAATTAATAAACAATAAGGGCTCATGCATTTTAAAAAAACACACAAAAAGTTCAGAAAGTACCTACAGAAGCGTGGGGGGAGGAAAATATGTTGGAAATTAGATGCTTCCCCTGTTCAGATATTTGGGCACATGCAATTGAAGTGGAAGAATATGAGCTTGGAAAATCACTTCCAAAACTAGTAAGTTATAGTTACAGTCCCACTGAATACTCAGTTTCCATTACAGTTTCATTTATATTTTCCCAAAGTATATGAATTATATATAGTCACCTTTCTTTTCAAAACCAGCATGCAGTACATTACTATTGTATGAAACACTTCTTTCCTCCCTTTCTGTCCCTGTGTTTTTCAAAGTCATATGCAGGGTCCCAGAAATAGGAACATCTCACTCTCTTCATAGCCCAAAGCATTAACCTTGACAACACAGATTTCATGGTTGCCAACCTGTGTGCCTTGGGATGCTTCTAGACTGCAGATCCTATCACACTCATCCACTGGAACAGAATCTGGGATCAATGGGAATTGTATTGCAGAAACACCATGGAAGTAGAAGTTGGGAGAGGCTGTAGTTTTAAGTCTTCCAGCAGCTTCCCTTGAAAGTTTTGACACTTACTGCAAGACTGTATTCTTGATATCCCATTACTAGCTCCATGCAAATTAGAATCAAAGCTCAAGCTGTTCCGCACAGTGATTGCAGAGTTGATGTTGGTGTTGATAGTGGGGGTGCTTGGCATCCGGGTTAAGTTGGGCATGCTCCTTCGAAGTTTGTCTGTAGAAAAGCAAAGGATGTCATTATTAGGAAATCTTTATGGTCAAGTAATTGCTTGCTAAGGTCTAATAGCATTAAAAAAAATCTTCTGTGTCGGGCCAAAGAACTCTGGATGTGGCATGCCCTTTTCAAGAGCCTGAGTTTCCCAGAAGGAGCGGGTTGGCCATGTTGGACTTAAAAGCAACAGCTTTCCCCAGTATCTGACATTCAAAGGGTCAACCACCAAAGTTAAGATTTACAAGGAAGTAAGAGCAAAATCAAGAGTCGAAAGCACTGAAAATGGTCAAGTGATAATCACAATAAACCTCTCAGGGTACAAGCTATAAAATAGACTCACACTGTATCAAACCTCTGGATTTCATTTCACATACAGGCAATGTATGTATTACTACATCTACATGAAAACTACTCACCTATGGCTTCTTTCTGGTCCATTCCACTTAATTCTATTCCTTTTCACACTGACATCATGTTCTGTGTGTGTGTGTGTGTTTGTGTGCGTGCATACATGCACACACACAGAGAGAGATGCTGTTAACATGGAAAGAAGAAAGCTATTTTTCCAGACTACCTCACTCAGAAATTCAGAATTGAAGAGGTACAGGCAAATAAACATTCCAGTTCAAAAACTCTGCAATTGTCCCAATGTGATGTTTGTCTTCACTTCTAGTCTTTGATTCAGAGCTTAGGGAAAGTACTTTTTTGGACTACAACTCCTATAATTCTCAGCCAGCACAGCCACCAGTCATGCTAGCTGATGTATATACCAGGAGCTCATGCTTTGCCAACCTTCCTTGCTTCTAACTTTTCTTTGCCTTCCATATTCAAAATTAACACTGTAAGAGGCAAAGAGCTAGAAGAAAAAATGTGTTAATGCTGACACAGGTCATAAATCAGTGTGTCTACCAGCCCTATAAGTTAGGACAGGGTGTTAGGAACTCTTTACAGTGGTACCTCGATTTACGAACTTAATCTGTCCCACTATCTCAAGATTAGACCACCGTAATGCGCTCTACGTGGGGCTACCTTTGAGGCTGATGTGGAAAATCCAAGTGGTGCAGAATGTGGCAGCCAGACTCCTTAGTGGAGTGAGAAAACACCATCATATCTCACCTACTCTGGCCGCACTGCATTGGCTGCCCATTTGGTTCCGCATTGACTTCAAAGTGTTGATGCTTACGTATAAAGCCCTAAACAGTTTAGGGCCTCGATATTTGACGGAACACCTACTCCCACCAAGATCTACCCGTATCACTCAATTGAGTCATGAGGTGAGGCTGATGAGCCTGACGCTGAGGGAGGCCCGAAAGGAAAAAAACAAGAAATTGGGCCTTCTCGGCGGTGGCTCCTTGCCTCTGGAACAACCTCCCTCCAGAGATTCATGCAGCCCCGTCGCTGGTTATTTTTAAGACCCAACTAAAAACTTGGGTGTTTAAGCAGGCCTTCCCTCCAGATAATACTTAATTCTTCTTTCTCCATTTATCCTTTGTCATCTTGCCATCTTGAAGTATCTGTTTATTATTTATTGCTTATTGTCCATTGCTTTATATTTTTTTATTTTGCTATATGTATATGTTTTTTGTATTTGTCTGGAAGCCGCCTAGAGTGGTCGCAATGACCAGATAGGTGGGGTACAAATAAAATAAAATAAAATAAATAAAGATGGTCGTAACTCAAAATGGTTGTAAGTCGAAGCACCATTACCAATAGGAATGCATTGAAATGTATTAATCTGTTCCAGCCGGAAAAATAAATCACCAAAAAAACCCCAAAACACTGCAAGACCCATTGGAAACACAATTAATCCATTCCAGCCAAAGGGAAAAAAAAACCCAAAAGCAAACAGAGACTACAAGACCCATCAGAAATGCAAAAAACAACAACCAAAAAACAAACAGAGACTGCAAGACTCATCACAGCATAGACAAATAACCCCACCACCCAACCCAAACCCACACTGCAAAACCCACCTGGAACAGCCAGTTTTTAAAATGCAAAAAGCAGCACCTTACCAGGCAGTCTGAAGCCTCCTCCGAATGCACACTCTCTAACCGTTGGGGCGAAACAGCTACAAAGAAGCAGCCTCTTTGCCACCAATGGTTAGCAGTTTGAATTCCCCGCCTTTTTCCCTGCCTTTTTTCTGGTGGTAATTCGAAGCTCCGGTTGCAAGTCGAAGCAAAATTTTGTGGCTGGAGCTGGTCATAACTTAAAATTGTCATAAGTCAGGACGTTTGTAATTTGAGGTACCACCGTATTTACTTCCTCTCAGACAGGCTAATGCCACTTACGTATTAATTGACTCCTGTGTCCTTTGGCCATTTCATGAGAAGAGAAATCTCCCTGGAAAAGACCCTGATGTTGGGAAAGTGTGAAGGCAAGAGGAGAAGGGGACGACAGAGGACAAGATGGTTGGACAGTGTCATCGAAGCTCCCAACATGAATTTGACCAAACTCCGGGAGGCAATGGAAGACAGGAGAGCCTGGCGTGCTCTGGTCCACGGGGTCATGAAGAGTCAGACACAACTTAACGACTAAACAACAACAACAATGTCCTGTGCATCCAAGAAACCAGGCTTTACACACTTAACAAGAAGAACAGACTCCTTGTCAGAACTTTCTTTAACAACTATTTAGCAACCAGGATAGTGCGTCCAACATGTGGACAAAAGGACAGTCTACAGAGCTGGTCAAAGAATCAAAGCAACTCCAGTTTGCATTCCAACACTGTACATGGTTAAAGAATAATGAGACAGAAGACTGGGACTAGCCAGTTGTTTTTAAAACACAAACAAGCCATTCACTAATTAAAACTTATCAGGCTCCTAGAAATATGTCACTGAAGCAGCTTTCAGGGAAAAGATACCCACACGTGCTCCCAACTCTCATGAAAATAACTTTCAGGCCGGGCCTGGCTCTTTTGGCTGTCTAGACAAATTTGAAAGATATCTAATTCGCAGAGACAGGCTTTTCCTCTTTGGGACTGAGCAAGTCCCAATTTAAGAAAGTTCAAACTGACAAATCACCTGGTCATCCAAATGATTTCTGTGAGGCTGAGTGAACCTGGCAGTAAACTGGGGTTTACAGCTGCTTGGTCCTACAGATGTATTTTCAGAAAGAAAGAGGGAAATGAATTTGGATTTGTTATTCCAACACTCATTCTTACACCAACCTCAGCTGTGAAGACCGTTAAAGCTGACCAGTGAAACACATGATTTATCAAACTATCTGCAGCATGTCAGCCAGGTACTATGGTTTGTCAGGCACTTGAAAAGTCACCGGGGGGGGGGGTGTTGCAGTCCCAAAGAAACAATCCAGCCATAAGGCTTAGTAAGCCACATCACCTGCAGCTGACTTAGTCAGTCACAGGTTGTGCACACTTGCCATAAGCTGACATGATAAGCACACTGTGTGCAAAAAAACCTAGCTTATATTATCATATGAAAAACCAACAACACCTGTCCTCCTCAATACCTAGGTCTCCTACCTCTGCACACAGGAGCTAGCTTTTGCTACACACAGTTGTGTTTTGGCCCAGACCTAAGCTTTTTGCCCAGCACAGATAACTACAAAACGGTGCAAACAACACATAAATGACTGCTTAAAAACACAGGGGCTTTTCTTGTCCAGGAGATACTGACAACTTTAGTCACTACAACTGAGAACTTGTGGAACAACCAGGAATACTTATGAACACAACAGCCTTGAGCTGCACCAAAGACAGCTGACTGGCAGACTAACAATCCAAGTAAAATTCAGTAGCAGCAAGTAAAAGGATTGCTGGCAAGGAAAAGGAAAAAAAAGCTAGGAAGTCTAAAAGAAAGGCCATGTTTGAACACAGGCATAGGCAAAAGTCGTTTGTGCAGCCCTGAGCCCACTAGGCTCTTCTGCCCCCTTCAAAAAATTTGCTGGAAAAGGAAGAAATGAAGAAAACTGAATGACTACCCCTGGATTCTCCAAAAGCAGCATTTCACTGTTCAAATAGGTTGCAGCACCCTAACCCTTACCTACATCCTGTACTGTTTATTACACACACAAATATCATTATTTTCAACACTGTAAGTAGAATTCAGCTTCTGGTTTCATTTGTTGGCATATTTTGCAATCCATGCAGCTCCTGGGGGATCCTAGGGACAGAAAACGGCTCCCAGACCCACTGAGGTTTCCCATTCCAGAGAGAAAACAGTTCAAACTTTCAAACAAATACAGTGGTGCCTTGTTTAGCGATGTTAATCTGTGCAGCAAAAATCACTGCAAAGCGATAACATCGCTAAGCGATTTTAAAAAGCCCATAGGAACGCATTAAAACGTGTTTAATGCGTTCCTATGGGCTTGAAAACTAACTTTATGCAAAAATCCTCCATTGCGGCGGCCATTTTCAGTGCCTCTAAAGTGAGGCAAAACAGCGGGTGCCCAGTTTTTCCCCGGCGGCCATTTTGCAACCGCCAATCAGCTGGCTGAAAATGGGGGCTTTGTGATGATCGCTTCCCTGCGATCATCGCAAAACGAATTTTCCCCATAGGAAACATCGCTAAGCGATCGCTTTTGTGATCGCAAAAACAGCGTCGCTAAGCAATTTCGTCGCTCAGTGGAGTGATCGCTAAGCGAGGCACCACTGTATAGCCGAAGTGTAAGTGAGAGAGACCCCACAGTGCCATGCTGTCTCTCTGACTGACGATGCATAATGATAGGAGACACATGCCTCATGTCCCCAAGAAAGCACAAGTTGGTCACTCCTGAGGAAAAACAAAAAATGACAAAAGAAAGCATCCTTACAAAGGCAGGGCAAAAGAAAGCCCTATAGATGCTTCAGCCAGCTGCTCCAGCCTGCCTTACCTCCATTCATCCTGTTTGGTTGTGGCTCAAGAGGACTTGGAGTCTGAGGAGAGTAACACTGTGGCTGCTGATAATTATTTGAGGGAAAATATGGGGATGTCGGGCTCCTTCTGCAGTCCCGTATACTAGAGAAAGTCTGTGAATGGGGAATTCCCCTTTGAAAAGGGGAGCATCGAGTGAGCCGCGGCTGTGGAGGTGGCAGGTGGTCAAATTCTTCTTCCTCATCCTCAAGGCTGTAGCGATCAAATTCCTGGTCACTGCTGGTCCCTTTCTTGCTGGAATGAAGAGACACACTAGAGCTATTTCTTGAAACAGATGCTGAAGTAGAAGCATAGTCTTGCCTCAGACCTGTAAAGCGCCAGGAAATAAGAGAGATCAGCATACCAAACAGAGAACCACATCTGTGACAATGTCATCCTTTCCACCCCTGCCTCATTTCACAAATCTGTTTGGAAGACAGGAGTAGCTTGGGGAGTGGCTCTCCCCAGGCAAGTCCAGATTTGCTAGGCAGAAACTCCCACCATGCCCATTCAACAGCCTGGTCAGTGGCTGTTCTGGCAGAGGACTGTAAGAGCTGCAGTCCAATGTATCGGGAAGCCACCAGTTTGGGGAAGGCTGGCATAATGTAAGGGGGATTAAGAAGACAACTAAGTGGGAAGGCAATTCATGACACTGCAGCTCAGCTCACATTACATTTGACCTTAGCTTTAAAAACTGAAGTTGCCCTAATAAGGGTGCATCAGTATATTTAAAGCATAGCATGAAGGATTCCTCTGCAGGCAGGGTGATTAAACAAGGAACTAGCTCTATGTTAATTTACAATTCTAATTCATATCATCCTTCAAAATGTATTAGTTTGACAGATTGTCTGTGCAACTAGATTTCTCAGTGGATGGCCTTTTCTTCTGTAACATTCAGACAGTGGTCTTCACAGAGATTCAACCAGAGCACTCCCTACTCTATTTAACAACAACAACAACAACCATCATGCACTGTCAAGTCAGCTCTGACTTATGGTAACCCTTTTTAGGGCTTTCCAGGTAGACAATACTCAGAAGTGGATTCCCAGTCCCTTGTTCTGGGGGTACACTGAATTGTGCAACTCACCCAAGGCCACCCAGGTTAGCTCTATTGTGCTATTATAGTAATTAAAATACATTGTATGATTCAAAACATTTAAAAATTCAAAAACAAACTTATCCAACTAAAAACTGTTTATTCTTATGATTGAAAATGACTATGGATTATAAATGCCACCCATGTCTATGCTGTGCAGACAGGTCAGGGTGACCATGTTCAGAAGTCACAATTACAAAAACTGCAAAAGAGATATTTCTACTTTTTGCTGTTTTCCCACCAATTCAGTATTCTCTTTTCTACCTTCCAACCTCTTCACTACTAAGATGTTCTTGTCAACATCTTACTGCCTTCTCTTCAGGATCACTAGCTGTCATGTGATCCTTTAGAGTCAGGCTCGGATGTCACAGAAGTCCTAGGCAGCATTGGGCCCAGTAGCTATCCTAGTAATTAAAATACATCATGGGGAAAATGGGAAGCTGCAGAATTCCAACTCAAAGATACTTCAATGGCTTTTTAGAATTAACCCATTTCCTGTCTCTCCATATGGCAAGAGCTTTTAAATAACACCTGCCTGGTGCAGATCATACAAGCAGTTTCAGAGTCTTTGAATAAAAACAGACAGATGGCATTTTTCTCTTGATGTATGTGATCAGCTTGAAACCCACTTAGCCCCTACCCTCTTTCCTACTGCCTCATTAGTCTTCAATCCTTTGCCGTATATCTAACGCCAAATACAATATTGCTACTCCACTGCTGTGTAAGATACTGGGTAGCATTAATCACATGGCATTGTCAATTCTGACTTAGAGCAACCCTTTCCAGGGTTTTCTAGGTAGAGAATACACTGAAGAGGTTTACCCTTCCCTTATTCTGGGGGTGCTTCGGGACTGTGGATCTTTGCCCAAGACCTCCTCCCCCTGGAGGCCCTGTGGGGAATTGCGCTCCCAAACTCTGGCTCCACAGCCAGGCACCTATAAGCTACTGCGTTCTCTAGCCAGTTCAAGATAATGGGTAGTGGTGCCTTGCTTAACGAGCGCACCGTATAACGATGAATTCGCATAGTGATCTCTTTTTTGGATCGCTAATGCGAAGGCATACCGACGGTTCCAAAGGGTGAAAATCGCTTAGCGACGATCGGTAAGCGTTTCGCTTACCCATTTTCGCTTAGCGATTTTTTTCAATCAGCTGTTCGGCGGTTCCAAAATGGCCGCCGGATGCCCAAAATGGCCACGCGCAGCGTTTTCGCGCCCTGCCCTCGCTTACCGAACGCGCAAAAATGGTGGCCGGATGGGGAAAACATCGCAGAACGGTGAGTTTTGTGCCCATTTGGAACGCTTTTCCGTTCCATACAGCAATGTTTCCCCATAGCGAAGGTTAATCTGGAATGGATTAACCTCGCTATGTGGGGCACCACTGTAATGGGTAGGGCCAAGCAATTTCTCTAATGTGAAAGCCGTCAGAGACATACAGTGTTTAAAAGAGAGAAAAAAAGATTGTGTGTGGCAGCAATAGCCTACTTTCTTCTTGCAGCCGGGCCATGATCTGGACATCAGTGAGGTCTTGCAGTTTATATCCCATCGAGATGGAATCATCTTCCAGTTCTGAGGTGCTCAGCTCACTGTCTATGGATGACTGGGGGCTGAGAGGGGAGCTCCTAGACATACAACCTGTAGAAGACCAACACAGCAGGCATTAGACAAGAGATCAGCATTTCAACTTTCGACGCAAATTTTAGGTGCATACTTTCAGGACTGCCTTGGAACAGACCTGCCACCACTATGGCTCTGGAATCTGATTTTCTTTTACATTCTCAAGTCCTTTAAGATGAAAAATGTTGTCTACTGAGAAGAAAGTCCTAGTGAGTTCAGTAGTACTTACTCTGAGATAAATGTACCTAGTACCGCAACCCAGCTTTTCAGTAGATACATGCAAGACTTCATTATAGTAGGACCCCCGTATCTGCAGGGAATCAGTTCCAAGGCCCTCGCAGATGCTGAAAAATGTGGATTATAGTGAAGATTATTTTAATGGTGAATGCTATACACAGCAAGGTCTCTGCCTCCCTCTAGTGGCCAGCTCTGGTAACTTCACCTTTAGAAATAAATATTTCTAGGATTTTTCTTTTAATACAGTGGTGCCCCGCATGACGGTAATTCGTTCGGTGAAAATCGCTGTTTAGCAAAATCATCATCTTGTGAAAACCATTTCCCCATTGGAATGCACTAAAACAAGTTTAATGCATTCCAATGGGGAAAACTTGTCGTCATTTTGTGAAGATCGCCGATAGGACAGCCATTTTGCAAAGCACCGATCAGCTGTAAAAATGGCTGCCCTGCGAAGCACCGGTCCCGAAAACACAGGGAAGCCATTTTGTGAAGCTGCCGATCAACTGTAAAAATCACCGTCTTGCGAAAAAACGGTCCGCGAAGCACAGACCAAATCACTGTCAAGCGAAAATTGCCCATTGGAATCACTGTTTTGCAAATCGCTATAGCGATTGCAAAACCTTGTCATCATACGGATTTGTCGTTTTGCGAGGTCATCATCTAGCGAGGTACCACTGTATTTTTAGTATTTTCAGACTGTGGATAAGTGAATCAGTAGATACTGATCCTGTGGATAAAGGGGTTCTATTGTATTTAGTCTTTATAAAAACAGCATATTAGTTCTTTTGTTGGTTAATACCATATAGATGGGAATACGTTTGCACCAGCTTTGCTCAGACTAGTGCTCTCTACAAGCTCTCTATGTACCAGAACTCCCATCATCCTCAGTCAGCAAAACCATTATATGTCTACAATGGAGAAAAGCCTAGCAGGCTTTAGACAGGGGTGTGGGGACAAAAACAAAAAGCCTCAATTATGATCCCAGTGTTGAACCTCAGTGTCTGACTATCTTTTTAAACAATGACCTCTCCTACTTCTCATGGTGGTTGAAAAAGAATCTGAAACATATAGTGAGGAAAGGAACCTCTATAAGTATCTCTACCCTGCATGGCTCTTGCTTCTTTTGTCACAACCACAGTAGCATTCTCTTGCATGCCTGCTGACCCCTGTTGACATGTACCTGGTGTTGCTCAGTGACACAAGTCCTAGTTTAATACCACAGCCTGATGTTAGCACAGGCACAGCTGAGGCAGATCACTGAAATTTGCCCCAGGGTAAAATATAATGGAACATAGATGGGAGAGTATTGCTTGTTCTCTAGAGGACTGCAATTCTTTACATCATCAGTAACCAAATACACTTGAATTGAGGAAATGGGGGAAAGATGAGATTTTTAGTTTTTTAGGGAAACATGTAATAAATTATATTTTAAAAAGGAGAAATTCTACACAACTCAATATATGAAATTCATCTGAAGCTACATACCTGAGGACCAATCTAATTATGTCAAGGGAGCAAACCTGAAACAGGTGAGGGGAGCTAAATATTCTCCCTCTCATGTCCCCACATGAAAAAGGTTACCTTTTCTGACTTTTCAAAGTAGTAGCTGTGTCAGTCTGTGCAAGCATTATCAAATGAGAAACAGGACAAAAGCATGGACGGATGGAAGGAAGGAAGGAAGGAAGGAAGGAAGGAAGGAAGGAAGGAAGGAAGGAAGAGCATTGTGTCTGTTCTCAGTCAACAGATTTATTTTAATATTCATGGATTATAATACATTTCAAGGAAGGAAGGACGGACGGACGGACGGACGGACGGACGGACGGACGGACGGACGGACCTTAAGATTAACTGCTACAGTATATTTTAATGTGCACTTTGATGAATCACTCTTATATCTGAGGAAGTGGAGCTGATTCACAAAAGCTCATATTAATATACAGAAGTTAGTCTTTAAGGTGCCACAATATTCAGAGGACGAGATGGTTGGACAGTGTCATCAAAGCTACCAACATGAATTTGACCCAACTCCGGGAAGCAGTGGAAGACAGGAGGGCCTGGCGTGCTCTGGTCCATGGGGTCACAAAGAGTCGGACACGACTTAATGACTAAACAACAATATTTTGTCTTCTTTAACTTTTGTTTTTGCTTTTGTTTTGTTTATCTGATTTTCTGACTTGTTAACTGACATCAAGTCACCTCTGACTTATAGTGACCGTATGAGTGAGTGACCTCCAAAATGTCCTTTCCTGAACAGCCCTAAACAGCCTTCAGTTTACAAGCCCTACTTGTAAACTGAAGTCTGTGTCTTCCTTTATACAATCAATCCACCTCACATTTGGCTTTTCTGATTTCCTGCCACTTTCAACTTTTCCTAGCCTTATTTTCTTTACCAGCAAGCCCTCCCTTCTCCTGACAGGCCCCTTTGTTTCTGACTGCAGCTCTCAGAATAGTGGCTAGCCTGGCTGGGATACCCTGGGAATTCTAGAATAGAGAGAGGGAAGGAGAAGGGGGGGGGGAAACCAAACATCTCTGCTCACACCTTACAACACTCAATGGTTTCAAACATTTTTCTCCCCTACTTGGACAGGACAAAAAGTGCACTGAACCAAAGCCGAATCCAAAGCCAAAAGCTGAATCCAAAGCTGAATCCAAAGCCAACATCTTGGCAACATGTTTTTGAGAGGACTTCCCCACACAGCTATACACAATGTCACCAGGCCCTGCATCCACAACAGTTAACTCGGGGTTGCTGTTACTGAAATGGATGCACATCCCCACAATGTCTTAAAATAGTGGTTCTTAACCTTTTTGAAAGAAACGCCCCCTTGAGGAAGTTACATTGAGGAAGTTATCATCGCCCCCCTCCCCGTGGTGATGATATCTTATTTATTTATTTATTTATTTTTATTTATTTATTTATTTATGACACTTAAATCCAATGACCCCTGAAAACAAAATTCAATTCCAAGAAAATGAAATGCCCCCAAAAAGTAACATTTAATGATTTAGTTGCAAGCGAATTTTAAGACGCAAAAAGAAATATAAAAAGGGCATAAAAACAAACCGCAATGCAGGAACTAAAAATTTCAAGGTGAAATCTCTGAAACTAAATTAAGATTGGAGGAAAATATATATTCATGCACATTGTAAAAAGGCTACAGCCATCTTCACAGGTTTGGCTTGCTCCAGCGCCCCCTACTGCCCCCCTTCTGCTCCAGCGCCCCCACGCCGCCCCTTTTCGTTCTACCGCCCCCCTGAAAAATGAAATCGCCCCCTGGGGGGCATTACCGCCCACGTTAAGAACCACTGTCTTAAAATACAGGGTTCCCACAAAGTCTTGTGGGCATGTCAATTCAGGGCTTCGTACCTGCGTACTGTTGGTGCTCAGTAAATTAGGGCAAAGAATGAGTGTGGGCAGTAGGTCCCACTTCAAATACTGGTGGACCCTCACAGGATTCTTTTGGCAGCTGACTGGGCATATCCCACTTGCTCTTTTTCGGTGTACATGTTTACACGGCTTATACACTATATGCTTGGGGTTTTTTTGCATACATTTTTACATGATACAGGATAAAATATTCATGTATAAAATGGAAGAAAGACTCATTTCCTTTAGCAACACACATTCTGCAAACCAGGGTGGAGAAATAGCAATCCTGGGGCTACAGGTTGCACACCAAAGCTGTTTTTCCCTGCAGCCCTCTAGACCTATGACTTTTTTTCCAGCAGAACCTTAAAAAGTGGCTATTCATTTTTTAAACAGGACACAATCCCCCCTCCCTGCACTACTTTACACTCTCAAAATGACCCTTTTCCAAAACAAAAAGTGAGTGTCAACCACTTCCTGGTTCATTCTTGGCTTTGGTGTTTCTTTAACCTTTTTTGCCAGCTGTGTAACGCCTAGAGAGTCCCAGAGGCAGGAAAAAAAATGGCCGTCACCATCTGGCTCACTAAAGTTGACTCACCCTGTTTTACATTGAAAAAATGTACAATGTGTTAATGTAAACTTGCCCTTTCCTGCTGTATACATGAATAAAGCAAATGGGAACAAAAATAATCACAGCTAACTTTTTATGTCTACTTTGATCCTTGACTGTGGTCTTAACAAGCCAACATATTAAATCCTCGGTGATGAAATAAACTGTGGAGGAAATGACCATAGGCCTTATTGCATGCTATGTTAGTAAGAAAGAAAGCATTACCTGTTCTTTCAGGTGTTAATATTGCTTTACTGAAGGTTTTAGAGAAGGCAGGAGTGTTAAAGCCATTGCTATATGGAGTGAGCCTTGCAACAGGGCTATAGGGAAAAGCCAAGGAGACAGATGAAGAGAAGAGACTCCGCCAGCGACTAGCTGTTAATGGACACAGAAAAGAAAGATGTCAGGTTATATTTATCAACAGAGTAGCTATATACTCAGACATAAGTGTTAGGGAAGAGTAAAATCAAACAGTATAACTGTGCAGTCCTATACGCTGCTGCTCATCAGACAGCACCATGTACAATGGTCGTTTGCTCCTGGGTAAGTGGATACAGCATGGAGCATGAAGCTGCAATCAGAGAGAGAGAGAGCTGGTACTAAAACTGCACTGAAATCAAGAGAATCTATTTCTCAGAAGATACAGAAAAGAATGCACTGGTAGTTGCTCAATACAAGATATAAAGTAAGTAAGAAAGTAAGAAAGAAAGAAAGTAAGAAAGAAAGAAAGAAAGAAAGAAAGTAAGAAAGAAAGAAAGAAAGAAAGAAAGAAAGAAAGAAAGAAAGAAAGAAAGAAAGAAAGAAAGAAAGAAATGATGTAAATCTGTAGAAATACAGCAGGCTTGGAATGCAATATTTTCAGTGTGTAATCTGTCCTATCTAATGCGGATCATATTAAAAGAAAGAAAGAAAGAAAGAAAGACATGATGTAAATCTGTAGAAATGCAATATTTTCAATGTGTAATCTGTCCTATCTGCAGATCATATTCTGGCTAGAGAAGCAGGGTGTTTTTCTTTCAAATATAAAATGGCATGCACTAGAAAATATAAGATTATAAAAAACATCAAGATAACTAATATCATAATGTATTTATCATTTGTATTTTGATAATTCCTCCTTTTTAAAAGATTATACCGTATGTCATTGTTATTCAATATTCTAGATTATCTCAATTTGATATTTTAGTGTACAACATGGCAAGAGATTACCTTAATCGTATGCTTTTCTGGATACTGATCTTTTTAGTTGTAATATTTCAATTCTTTTGTACACATTAGTTTAAAAAGAAAAGAAGATACAAGATAACTTGCATTGCAACAATCTCTGAAGAAACTTTCCTACTTATTAAATTATCATTTCTAATCTCTCTCTCTCTTCTATCCATCTATCCATCTATCCATATCCACTATCTATCTATCTATCTATCTATGTTAATATCTTTACAGAATATTAGTATAGTTAATTGGGACATAACTGAGCTGAGGGTTAAGCTACTGGACAGTCAATCACAGACTCACCCATCAAGTGCTAAAAACAAACTTAATCCTCTTCATAAGCTTTTAAGCTAGCAGACATAAATATTTCTTCCTTTTACCAACATGAAATTCCAAGTTACATAAGCATGAATATTTAATGTACATTTGCATAGTCTGGAACAGCCATCTACCTCACAGTCATATCAAAGTTGCCCTGTAACATCACAGGGCAAGGCTTATAGTCCTTGTACACAGTTAGAAAATGTTTCTCAGAACACATGTCAAAAGTATTTCTCTGCCCATCAAAAATAAGGACTTGTACACAATTAAGAAAACCAGTAGGGGGTGTACTGGTTCTGCTGTGAAACTAGGGGCAGGAAAAGCTTGAAAATATTCAATTATAAATCAATAGTAATTAATTCAATTCCCCAATAAGTAAGATATAATTCCATGACAGTAACAATTATAAATCAATAGTAATTAATTCAATCCCCCAATAAGATATAATTCCATGACAGTACAATTATCAAAGAGTAATAACTTTACTTTCTTTGCTGTGTTACTGTCACTTAGAGCTGATATATCAGAAAAAAAACAACAAAAACAAAACAATGCCTTCCTGCATTACTGTCACTTAGAGCTGATATATCAGAAAGAAAAAAAAACCAACAAAAACAAAACAATGCCTTCCTGCACTCTGTATTGGGAAAACAGGACAATCTCTATGCCAAAGACTGAATGGACACAAATCTGAAATCAGGAATGGCAACACACAAAAACCTGTTTCAGAACATTCCAATCTATTTGAACTCTCTTTGAGTGACCCACAAGTGACTGTTTTTTGGGGGGAAACACTACAAACCTGACTTGAAGGAGAAACAGCTGAAGTAAGTTATGCATAGATGCCAGAAACCCACTTAAAAGTACTGAATATTAGTCAAGGGTTCTTAATTCACTCTGAGTGTAAAATCCTACACTGATTCTCAGAGTTTGCCACTTGTGTCAACTATGCTATTGTTAATTTGTAGACTGAAAACTTAAATTATTCACAGTCTCATAGCTTTTACTAATTAACAACTGCCATTTTCTCCACTATCTATATCCTCATCAGCTCATGGGGCCATGTATAACTATGACAGCTGTATAGTCACACTCTTATGTCTGAGGAAGTGGACTTATGTATAAAAGTTCACATTAAAATACAGCAATTAGTCCTGAAAGTGCCACATTGTTTTGTCTCATTTTTTGTTTTTGTCTTATATGCTTGCACAGACTAACATAGCTACTTCTTCAAAAATTATAGTTAACAGTAATTGTGTTCCATCAAGATGATTCTGTTCATGCACCTTTGCAGGATTTCCTAGGTATAAAGTACTCAGAAATGGCCTACCAATCTCTTCTTCTGATGCTGCTCTGGAACTACGCAACTTGCCCAAGGTGACATAGGCTCTTCTCCCTGGTGGCACAGTGGCAACTGAACTCACTGAGCTATCCAGCAACTTCACTGTTCTAGTTTTTTTTGAGCGGGTGACCTAACTAAACAATAGAGGAGGGATATCAAACTACTTCATGCTGTTGCCACATGCTCTGTTCTAGGCACTGACATAGCAAGAATGCATTTTCCAGGGTTCTGCTCAAGTGCAAAGCCTGCATGACACAGGGCAATCATCCTCTTCAGATATGTCACTTGCTGTGTGGAGAAAGTGACAGTGTAAAGTAGAGGGACAAAGTGCTTCTGTCTGCCACAAACTAGGTAAACAACAACTGACTACAGCTTGAAGTGTCTTTTATTCCAAACCGTTAGAACTACTAGAACCTGTTGAGCACCCCTTTGCTCCATACATTACGGTCAGCAGACCATAAGCAATGAAACTCCTATGGTCTTCCTTATTTTTGAACTCCATCAATGAGACCTACAAAAGTCACAGCTGTGAGTGTTGCTTTAGTCTCCAATCCACATAATCTGTCACCTAGGAAGCTTCATTCAGTCTACTTGCAATGTATAACAAGCATGCATAGGAACAGGTGGTAGGTGCTGGTGGGCCAGCAGTGAAACCTTCTGGACCACTGTTCCTGAACAGCACCCCGCCCCCAGCAATTCTCCTCTCATGCATGACAAAGCTGCATGTTCTTCACCGTCTACCCAGCACCCAGAAACTAGTCTGTACTGACCATATGTGGCTGAGGATCTTATCCTACTGCCATTTTTAAAGCAGAGCTTGGCACTTTATTTTCAAAAGGAGTGTGCTGTGTGACCCTTTGTTTTATAGTAGCTAGATGACTGTTATTATTATTGGTTCTCCACTAATAAAAGTGGTCTTTTATGTTGTGCAATATTAAAGAGTTCCACTGTCATTATTAGCAGGCCAGGAAAATACTTTCTTGTTCCCTCTAGCGACCAGTTGTGATATCATGCCGTGAAAATGCAAAAATGTTTCTCTTCCAACAATCCACAGGAGAATGGCATAAAACTTGGGAAGGGGGAAAATCGAAATGTTTTAGGATCCCTTACAGTACCCTTTAAAAATAACTTCTGAAAGTAATTTAAAATCACTACCTATTATACCAACAAATTAACTATAACTTTTCATTATGGCAAAACATCTACGGATGGCTCCTGATACATGCCAGTCCTAATAAACATCCTGCTTCCACATCTTGGTCCTGGATTATACAGGGTTTCTCCTTTACCAAAATCAAGTCAAGTCTATTATGTTGCTAGCTTTAATGAATGAATGAATTATTCAAGTACATCAACCCAAAATGTATTTGAAAAGCAATGAGTCAGCTTCCATTGTAGAAGAAAACTCAAGAAGAGCACACATGCTAAACCATTAGTTTTAATAGCACTACCAACATTGCATATTTCCCATTGTAAATCATCACTGAGCAGCAAAAGAAAAAGTTGACCTTAAATGGGCCTTGTTTTTTTTTTTGAAACAACACCCTGTTTTGTAACAGTCTGATCCTTTGCCAAGGCCAATTAATGGCCCACAGGCTCTCGCCCACAGAGGCGGTCAACAACACAAGTGTAAGCAGCATTCATTACTTTGCCACAATAACTACAATGACATGAGCTGTCACGAACAAAGTGACTGTTATTGCAGCTCAGACTGTAAGAATCACACTAATAAGAACAGAACATTTGTGATATGGGAAAGGGGAGAGAGGCGGGAATATATTTCAGAGCCGTCAGCTGTTTTTCAGAGAGATGTGAGGCCCATCTTGGGACCGCTTTTAGATTTGGAGTGGATAGGGGAGGGGCAAAGGTACTTGCCTACTGTTCTCATTGTGGATAGGGGAGGGGCAAAGGTACTTGCCCACTGCTCTCATTTCCCCCCCAATATCATTTTTATTTAATTTGAAGATATAAATCTATCAGCTACAAACAAATATGCAATGTAATATAAAATAGAAAAAAAGAGAAAGAAATGAGAAAAGAAAAAGAAAAAAATCCCCCCTCCCCCGTTGAGGACAGAAATTCAGACCTCACTGAGTCCCAAATTTCCCAAGTTTCCAGAGAGCATTGAAAGAGAAGGAAAAAAAACCCACACATCAAACATTTTCCCCTATCCTTTGGTCTGTCCCTGGACCCAGACATATACAGTATTAAGTTCCAACTTTGTTTTGCATAGTCCCTTGGTTGTTCTCGTAGTGCTTCTGAGAGTGTATCTAGTTCTGCAATGTCCAACAGCTTCTTCAGAAACTCCTCCATTGTAGGCATGTCTTCACTTTTCCGTTTTTGGGCCCAGAGTAACCTAGCCACTATAAATCTATACATCAAACAATATTTGATTTTCTTGTCAGTAATTTCTGGCATAATATTTAGCAGTGCTATTTCAGGTTTGAAATTTAATTTCTTTTGAGTGATCCCTTTTATTATTTCCCACAGCTGTAACCAATAACCCCTGGCTTTTTCACATGTCCACCACATATGATATTAAGTTCCTACTTTTTTTTTTACATTTCCAACAAATATTGCTGCTACCCTCTGACATTTTTGCCGGTTTTGCAGGGGTTTAGTGCCATCTGTAAAACATTTTGAGGATATTTTCTCTTAGGTTTACCAGCTTAATCATTTTATAACAATCTTTCCACATCATTGTCCAGTGATCAATATCAATATTATAACCGAAATTACTTGCCCATTTTATCATTGTCTCCTTTACCCTCTCATCCTTCAGATCATATTCCATAAAGTATGTATACATTTTCTTTATTATTTTCTCATCAGTGTGGATCCACAGTTTGTCCACCTGGACTTCACCCTCAAAAAAGCCCATGTTTTTATCTTTTCTATATCTTGATTCTAGTTTATTCAATGACCACCAATCTGTCACCACCCCTAGTTCTTCTAATTCTTGCTTATTTTTTATATTTTGTTCTCTGTTGAGTAATTCTTTATAAGTTAGTAACATTCCTTTCTGATTCAATACTTTCAACGTAAAAGCTTCTCCCACTGTTCTCCTTATAAATGCAACATAGAAAATATGATTAATCTGTCTGCTACCTCAGGGGGACTCTCTCTCTCTCTCTCTGTTCAATCCTCTTCTTTTAACTTCCCAGAAATGATTCAGTAGGTCCAGTTACGAAATGTCCAAACCAAAGACAAACAGAGACCTCTCCATTTTGATAATACAGATGCCTGTGGCACTGATTTCCCTGAACTGTGATTCGGTGTGCTCCAATAGCCTTTTTGATCATTTGTTTAAGAAAGATGTTTTTGTTGTTGTTTTAACTTTTGAGGATACTTAGAAGAAGCTGCCTGAACAACACCAAGGTTACTATATGGATTGATGGACTTTAGACCCCATCAGGATGGATTGCAACCGAAAATAACATCTACCTTCAAAACTTGCCAAACAACATAATAAACTGGAATTAATTCTGCTTTGATTGGCTATTCACTACCTGGTGAGTTAACCAGACTTTATCCCAGCTTTAGGATAAGGATGGCTGAGTTTCTTATGTGGCCTTTTCCCCATCCCAGCCAAAAAGGAAACTGAATTCCAAACAGGCAATATGATTGTGGGGGAGGGGGCTCATTCTGGGATTACCTCCTATCCTGGAGGCTGAGTGGAAAATTCCCACCAAATGGAGCCAGGGGTGAGGCATTTAAAAACATCTATCCCCCCCTCCAAACTGGTTGATGCCAGTTCTCAGATCACCTTAAGTAACAAGCAACATGACTGGCGGATCTCTGCCATGACCATTTTGGGACTTTCATTCTTAATTGTCCACTCTCTACTGGAGGAAGTGAATTTTGTTATTTAAGAAAGTTGCTGCAGACCATCCTGGCCCTGAATTGGCAGTATTTGCAATCTACTCACAAATCCATACATCAACAAAGGCATCAGCCTCAGACAACACCCATAATACCCCCTAACTTTCTTGGATGACTGAGAGTGTTGCAATTTCATCTGCCCACAGAAAAGAAGAGACGTTTGGAAATGGGCAGAACTTCCGGAAATCATCCAGTTTATTATGTTGTTTGGCAAGTTTTGAAGGTAGATGTTATTCTCGGTTGCAATCCATCTTGATGGGGTCTAAAGTCCATCAGTCACAAATGGCCTGCCAGAGACACTAAAAGACAAGTTGCTTGTGATCCCTGAGAATAAGATAAAACACCTATTTGTTTGCATAACTGGTCACAGGAGAACAGTAGACAAGCTGAATCTGCCTATTAGACAGTGGCTGCAGGCCAGAGATGTCATCTGGGGTCCCCATCTTTTTCCTCCAGGGCATAGAGAACACTGTGCCAGTTGCTTGTGCAGGCACAGTTTATGGCAGAGCAGGGGTTTACCTCCTTGATAACTGGGGAGTAGGTACCCCCTTGCTCAGTTGACAAGCTGATTAAATTGATAGATTAAAAGCTGCTTTAAAACAACTTTGGAAGTGCTCTGAGTTGTGCTCCACTCTTGGGTGAAGCCCAGAAATGACCCTTCTATCCTTTCACACGCCTCTTTTTTAAGAAGCCAGCTCAGAAATTTGCTGAAATGAGGTTCTGTCCTGGCAGGTTAAAACAAAATGGAGGAGTCAGAGGCAGCAGCAAGAGATGCTTAAATAATACAGAAGTTTCACTGTGCAGCAGTTCTACTCTGCCATCTCCTTCTGCTAGGTCACAGAAAGCAGTACAAACCACAATGTCTACATTTAGACATCACGGGAGTCTACAATGCAATTCTGGCTAGGAAACAAACTTCAAGTAATGCTTTCAGATCCTGATATATTGTCCCCAATAACACAGTTTTAGCTCATATCCAGAGAATGTGGGACCCACCAGATGTTGTTGGACTGCAATTCTTATTAGCCTGAGCTAGCGGAGTCAATGTTGGAAGCTGAATTTCAGGTATCAATATCTGGAGGGCCTCACATTTTATACCTTCTGGGCCATATAACCCCTGTTGAGAATGGCTGCTCTACACCTTTTAATGTTCTGTGTTTCTGATGGGGACCATTATTTATTATTCTTTGAACAACTATGACTAAATCATTCCATACAAAAAGAGGGTCAAAAGCAAAACCTATTTCTAATTATTTGACAGTCAAAAAAGGAATAGATATACATGAACTATCGCTCTCCTCAAACTGCAGGAGCAGTTCAAAATACAGAGACATCCCTTGCAATATTGGCTTCTGCCAAGTCAAAACTTGATGTGACTTGAAGGGACAGTTCAAATGTGGAAGCTTAAAAAGGTAAACATAACTTACAGAGATACTTGGCCCAGACAGAAATAAGAGAAAAACAATCAGGAGCTTGCATTACTGTATCTATTATGACCCAGCTTTTGTCAAGAGCCATTTATCCAAGGAAACTCTGATTATGATGTAGCTCCTACATATGGTCCCTGTGTTTATTCTTCCCTAGGCAGGTAAGAGTGTCCTTCAAACAACCTGAGAGGCCCAGAACGAAAAAGAGGTGGGATTAGGGGTAAACAGGCTGTCAGGAGATTTCTACCAATACGGATGCTTCCAAGTGAATAGAAGTTGTTGTTGTTTAGTCGTTTAGTCGTGTCCAACTCTTCGTTACCCCCATGGACCAGAGCACGCCAGGCCCTCCTGTCTTCCACTGCCTCCCAGAGTTGGGTCAAATTCATCTTGGTAGCTTCGGTGACACTGTCTAACCATCTCGTCCTCTGTCGTCCCCTTCTCCTTTTGCCTTCACACCTTGATCCATTGAGGAAGTTATCATCGCCCCTCCCCGCGGCGGTGACATGGGGAGGGGGGCGATGATAACTTCCTCAATGGCGGTGCTGGCACCACATCTGCTGTCAGCTCCAGCTGCTCTGGATCCGACGGTCTCTTCTCATGAGATGGCCAAAGTATTGGAGCCTCAGCTTCAGGATCTGTCCTTCCAGTGAGCACTCAGGGTTGATTTCCTTCAGAACAGATAGGTTGGATCTCCTTGCAGTCCAGGGGATTCTCAAGAGTCGCCTCCAGCACCACAATTCAAAAGCATCAATTCTTTGGCAGTCAGCTTTCTTTATGGTCCAACTCTCACTTCCATATATCACTACAGGAAAAACCATAGCTTTGACTATGCGTACTTTTGTTGGCAAGGTGATGTCTCTGCTTTTTAAGATGGTGTCAAGGTTTGTCATCGCTTTCCTCCCAAGAAGCAGGCGTCTTTTAATTTCATGGCTGCTGTCACTATCTGCAGTTAGCGCACAAAATTGTGTGTTTGTTTTGCTCTGTCAAGTCAGAATCAAATTACAGAGACCCTAACAGGGTTTTCAAGGTGCGTGAGATTATTGAATGAGTGGTTTTACCAGTTTCACCTACTCAGTGGCGAAGTGGAGAGATAGACCATATCTCCTGCGTCCAGGTCTGTCACTCTGTCCACTACTTCACAGTGGATATCCATACAGAATGGTGCCCTGGGGTTATTACAGGTCAGAGCTGTTATCGATGGTGTACTCTGGACTTCCTTCTGTGCAGCCTACACTAACTGCAGGAAGTGTGCTATCTATAGCAATAACATTTTTAAAAATATTCCAAGACACAAATGAAATGTCTCACATCTCAAGCAAGAACTTGGCCTGCCTAATTCAAACAGATAAGGTCAGCCTACACCTCAAGAAATAGGTGTACCTCTCACAGATACAACATTTTAGAAGACATCTAGAAAACAGTTCCTCATCCTATTGATGTCGAGCAGTAAGGAGTACTGCATTACGAAATAAATTACCAAATAAATCTGTGGCAGTGAACTAAAAAGGCCTATGTGAAGGAGCAAAGGAACAGACAATCCAGAGGATCTGATCATTGATGCTGCCTTAAGACAGAGTTGGCAGAATTCTCACTGAATTTGTCCCCATTCAAATGATGTGATTTTAAGTGTTCAACAATTTAATCTGTCTGTGTTCACTGCTGCTGTTTTTAATACAAGTGGTTTCATAACTATGGTGACAGTTTTCTCAGCCGTCTCTTCAGCAATGGGAAAAAATCTGCCATCAGCAGAAACCCACATTTCTGCCGCTTTGTTCAGATTTGCCATTGCTTCATATACAACCCCCCTCTCTCAATCTCTCTCCCTCCCTCTCTCTCTAGTTGTTTATCTGGTTGCTTCTTTCTGACCCTCTTCTTTCCCTTTGCAGAGATGTGCTGAACGCAATGCCAAGAAGGAACATGAACTCCACTCCTGGCTTTGACAATTCTACAGTCTGTAACATTACTTTTTAACACTAGTTAGTTACAATGATAATGACTTTGTCTCCAATCATTTAGCTATTAATGTATTTTACAGTTAAACTGTAAAAGAACACTTTGCTTATCTATTTCTGAAAAAGTAACTGAGTTATCCTTTTTGGTGAGTTTTTAAGAGAACGTGAAGGCCTCAAACTCCGGACCTGTGGTACAGACACATCCCCTCCTCTTGCCCACCTCACCATCCCCTCATCAACCACAGAGCACAACTAACAGCACAAGCCAGCTCTTGAACCATCTGGGTTCTCAATTCATCATTTCACATTTCATGATGCCATAACCCCATAACTACAAAAGGACTTCAACCAATAAAGTGAGGTAGTAAAAGTAGTAATGTTATTCCCTGTTGTGTTTTAAATGTATTAACATTTGGCTTCCTGGTAAAAGAAACTAATTATAAGATCAGTTTCAAGGATTTTCCTCCAGGTTCTGGAGAGATCGACCCTTATTTCATCAGAGGGGCATGAAGAGGAAGGGAGGCTCCAGTAGCTATTTGTCATATCTTGTATCCCGAGATGGCAATTTCCTCACATAGTTTTTGCTTCCCTGATTGGCAACACAAGGGAGAAGCAGCACCTCTCAAAAGATCAGAAGGAGCCCTAAGGTTGCCGGTGGCTGAATCCCCAATTTAAAATACTTAAAAGGATTATAGTTTTTCCTATGTAAACAGCAGCTGAGACTGCTTAGTCTAGATGTATTTTTTTTTTCTAACCCCATCCTCATCTGGTTGAGAGACTGATGTGATAAAGAAAGTTCTGCAAAACATTACAACTCAGGAACATTAGATGAACCTCTAAATAATGTTCTTCTCCCATCTCAGTGGTGGAATGTACTTATTTAGGGTTATTAACAATTTACTGCCATTTAATGATATCCCAAAACGTGCCGCCTGAGCCTTGCACTGCCAAAAGGTTTGAGCCCTGACTTACTCAGAACAGTAGATGAAAGTTACTGCATATATAATTTTCATCCCATATAAATGAATTTGCATTATATTTTTGTCTTTACTAAGAATATTAAACGAAGCTGTCTCTAAATCTCACCTGAAAAACAACAACCAGAGGTTAATTCTGAAGCTCTTTCTCATGTGAAATACTGCTGTAATTTGAAGGGTAATTCAATGAAATTTGATAAGGTACTGAGATTTTGAGCAAAATGGCTGAGAACATGAGCTGTAAACCAGAAAGGGGCTCCTTCTAGTCTTGCCTTAACTATGGAGCCCCTGTATGACCGCAGGTAAGGCCCTTCTCTTAGCATTCCTGTTTGGCAGTTGCACTGCTGATGACATCATTCCTGCTGCACAACAGGATTTCAGCCACTGGGCAACATGGCAGATGAAATTCTTCTTTTCAGATAGTTATTAAAAGAATTGGACCCTGTGTTAGGAAATGTCTGATACTTTTAGAGTACACTTTTGAACCTCATGTTGCCACATGCAATATATCTGATTAATCACTGAGGAATGTCTCATCCCAGCTTCTAAGAATATTTTCACTGGTGTTAACACCTCCGCCTCATCCTGAGGTATCAGCAGCTGAGATCAACTTTAGATCCCTTCAGAGAGCTTGGGAAATGACTCTTTTTTTTTTACTACAACATCCATAATTTCTCAAACACAATTAACAGGAACATTAGCATGATGGGAACACAGATGAGAACTTTCCACCCTGCTACACCTACCCAAAATTCCCTTTCAGATGAGTTCTAAAAGGCCGTGGTTAGAATTACTTGTGAATAACCCACAAAAATCAGAGCGAAACCATGTCTCCGCCTTCCATTTAGAGAAAAATCCCAGATCCTGGAGATTCTTATTGCAACACAATGAGCAGTTTCTTTTTTTTCTTGGCTGGAATCCTATGGCACACTTATGCAAATAGCACAATTTTTAGACCTGAATTGCCATGTTAAGAAATCTCCATAGGCATAGTTTATTGTACACTGAGATTATGTCTACAGAGATTTCTTAACTTAGAGCAATTTGCATCTAAAGGTTTTGCCATTTGCATAAGTCCGCAACAGGATTTCACCCACTGAAAAAGGCTGTTCATAGGTTTCAAGAGCTTAATGAAAATAAATAACTGACAAATCAAACCAGAAGAGTCTCTTCTGGCCACTTCTATTCACTTACTGTTTCCTGCAATTGCCGTATTAGTAGACTGAGGTATGGGAGTTACACTGATTAGGACTCATAAGAACATAGACCATGCCCATCCAACTCAGAACTACCTGCTCCGAAGCCTAGAAAAATGATCTTTGGTTTGTGCACTATAACTCAGAATTAGAGGTTTGGACAAATATATAAACAGATTGCTTTTTCCGATGAATATAGCTGATTCGTTAAATATTTGTCAATCCATATTTATGGGACTCCACTGTGTGGGACCCCCCACAAATACTGTGTGGGACCCCCACAAATACAAAGGGATAAATATCTACCTGTTTTTATTCGTCTTTTGTATTTAAAAAAAACCCAACACAACACCATTCTGCCTACTGGCTGCCAATCAGCTGATCAGCGGCAGAAAGGCAGCCACGACCCCACACAGCCACCCAATACCGCAGCCTACCCCACCCCTTCCTTTCCCTACCTTAGGCCCCACCCCACCCCACCAACACCCTCTTACCTTAATCGCTGCTGCCAAGGTCTTCTG